TCTCTGCGTCCTCGCTTCCTAATCTCGGTGTCACCTACTGGCCACATGCTTGTTTTGCTCTCTTTTTTTTTTTTTTCCACTGCTCTCTCTGTGGTGTTTTGTTTCCTCTCATACTGAATAATGTCAGAGTATTTGAGCCTGCAGCCCCGTGCCGTCTAATGTGGGCATATTTCCCAAAAGGCTCCATGTTTATCATATTAAATACTGATTATGCAACGCTTTCATTTTCATTTCTCTCATTATCTGTTTGTCATTTCTGTGTTCTGTTTTTTGTACTCATGTGTTTAGCTGGGAGAGGAACGTGCAGTCACACACCTGCAGTACGTCGCGTGGCCGGACCACGGCGTACCGGACGACCCCTCAGACTTCCTGCTGTTCATCAGCTCGGTCAGGGAGAGGAGGAAAGGTGAAGAGCCACTAATGGTACACTGCAGGTAACACACAAATACACACACACACACACACACAAGGTATACTTAAACTGCCAGCACGCCCTGCACCTTCATCTCCTCTAAACTTAATGCCGTGTTTGTTTTGAATTACATTTGCAGCGCTGGGATTGGGCGGACAGGTGTTCTGATCACCATGGAAACGGCGCTGAGTCAGTTGGACCAGGGTCAGCCAGTGTCCCCACTGGACATTGTCAAAACACTGAGAGATCAACGAGCCATGATGGTTCAGACCACGGTACAGAGACAGAACAAGGATTTGTACTCTGTGATTGTTCTCTGCCTCATTAACCTCCTTATTTTATGATTTTATTATTATGATAATCTGTATCTGAAGAGATTTTCCAACTGCTTTCTGTTTTTCTGTCTTTTCATTGGCTGTTGGACTGTAGACAGCCTAAAAGGTGCTCACAGTACTTTTAGTCACATTTCCATTCAGTTCATTCTGGAGGAGCTTCTGAAGGTTGAACATACTGTTGTCCTGTAGCTTCTGTATGCTGCACATAGGGCAATATGGCCAAAAATATTTATCATGATATATATTTGAAAATTTGCGATAACGATATAACTGACGATATAACTGACAATATAATTGACTCTAGACAAAATACTTTACAACTTCACAACTTTATTAGGGCAATAAACCCAAGGCTCCTGACTCTGTTAGCCGTAATGATCAAACGGTGCAGCTTCGTAGCTTACCAAAGTCGTATTAAAACTAGTGCTGTCAGCGTTAATCTTGTTAAACTGACATTAACGCCATAACCGCGTTAACGCCCCGAATCTCCGTTAGCGAGTTAACGCGGATCACCCCTTGCGTTGACGCCGTGCAGCCCCAGGTTTTTTGGCCGCTTGGATGTTCTACCAAAAATTGTGTTTTGGTGGGTATCTGACGGACAAAAACCAAACCAGTTCCACACCACTGAAGTTGGCACCCTTTTTTTTACAAACCAATTCTGGTTTATCTGTTACATTCAACGATCAGCTTTCGGCCTTCTCATTCTCCATCGCCACCATGTTTTTTCCGCCATGTGCGTATGAAAACAAAAGCACTGCGCGGCGTTTTACCCATATTCTATCGCAATATTTCATTTTCTTATCGTTACCTAACATTACACCGGTATTACCGTGAACAGTATGATATGGCCCAGCCCTAGCTGCACGTGTGTTTACACCTGTGCTGCATCCCTTCTTCAGGCCCTGTGTACTCCTCTGATTCCAGCTCTTATTGATTATACAGATAGCTAAACAAAGCTGTAAGGTAAGGACCCTACAGTGTTACAGAGAAAAGGGAAAAAACTCAACAATCATATGACCCTCTATGAGCAAGCACTTTGGCGATAGTGGGAAGGAAAAACTCCCTTTTAACAGGGACAAACTTCTGGTAGAACCCGGCTCAGGGAGCTGCAGTCATCTCCTGCAACCAGTTGGTGGTCAGAGAGGAAGACGGGACAAATACAAGCTGTGGAAGAGAGCCATAGATTAAAAATCACACTTCCGGGAGGAAGTTCCAAACCTTGATTTCCTCCCCAGAGGGGCCCGGGGTTAATTCAGCGTCTCTTTCTGGTTGCTACATACCTGTAACTCCTTGGCAAGCAGCTGATAGGTGATCGCTAGGATCATCCGAGACACTCCAGTTGGCACATTTCAGCTCAAAAGGACCTGGAGCAGCTGTGCTCCAAGTTAGAGGCATTTAGCTCATTTCTACGTGAGGGTAAAGAATGGGTTCACATTACACGTGCAGATATTAACTGGAAAATAATATTGAGCTTAGCTAGCTGATTTTGTTTATTAGAACCTTTTTCGAATCCTGAAAGAATTAGTTGCATGCTTGAAAGTTTTCTCTTAAACCACCTTGTGCATCTCCACAGGAGATTTTAGAAAGAGAGAGAAGACTTGCTGTTTCCAGAATTGCCCTTTTATATAAGCCCACTGTCACAGATGTGGACATCTGCTGGTTTCTGCCATCTGTAACTCTAATTAAGAACCTTGTGACTGCCATTGTATAATACTGATGGCGGCTTATGAGAAGCTTCACTAGCACAAGCTGGGGTTGGAAGCCGTGCTCTGTAGCACCTCGGTGGTAGCTGTCGAAGGAGAGGAAAGGTGTTACTCGTTGCTTCAAGCATACTCCTGAGCCTCTGCTGCTACCACTATCACCCTTATTTTGGAAAGGAGAGCCACTCCCTGAGGATTCATCTCTGTGATGTTTTTGTGCTGATGGAGCACTTCCTCAGGTTTCCCCCATATGTTTGTGTATCAGTAATGGAAACATTCAGAGGACGTCCTTTAATGTTGGGAGAGAATGAAAATCCTCATCTTTCTGGTCTTTGAGGCTTCTTAACCACCCAGACAGACTCTTACTGGTAATGCAGTTCTTTGAAAACAGGACGGATATGAATTTCTTACAAATCAATTACACTATCAGGCGTCTCAGTAGCTGTTTGAGAGCTTTTTATCAATCTCACCGCAGCGCTGTTATTTTACTCACAGTGACATTGTTCTCTCGGTTACTCTTCTGATTTCCCTCTAATGTCACACATGTGGGTTTGAGTTTAATATCTCCTTCCTCTGACTCTTCGTCCTGGTACCATCATCATCAGAACTACAAACTCACTGAACTGTGTCTTTTGCTAATACGCTCTCTACGTGGAGTTTTTCTTGAAAGTTATTATTTTGCCAGTATTATCACATCAGAAACTGCTTTGTTTTCTAGTAACTAATAATATTTTGTGTTTTTATTTGTTGCAGTGTCAGTTCCAGTTTGTGTGTGAAGCCATTCTGCGAGTCTACAAAGATAAACAGGAGAGAGCTGCAGCACCGTAACCCAAATCAGCGCCAGGACCAGACAACCGCACTTTTCTGCCTCTTTTCATAGCAGACGACTTCCACAGAGAGATCTACAGAGCTAGAAAAAAAACAAACAAACAAAAACAGATAAGACTCTTATAGGACAGGAGCACAGACATGGATAATGAGAGTGAACCTAGCTGCACAGCTGTTTGTGATCTGCCTGTCTGTGCAAGAATATGAATCTTACACCTTAGCCGGCCTTAGTTTCTGCTGAAAGTGCATTAAGTTTATAGAGGCTGTGGTCTCCATAGAGACTGATGTAAGACTGACGTGAGCTGCTGCTAATTTCTGAAGAAGAGGCCACTCTGGTTTGGTGCCTCTGCCTATTAAGCTACATGTGCCTTAGACTGATGCTTCTCAGTCAGTGGATCAAACGGAGGGGGGGAGCAGAAGCTGACTGGGATCATTGTAATCTGTAGTCTGTCCGTGAGTCCAGAGATGAAGATTAAGGCTGACCTTAGATCACTACAGCAGAAAAAGTCATGGTGGTGCAACACGCCAAGTTGAGCACCGTCCATCACTATTAAATTATTAAAGACACACAATAAACACTGATTTATACCCATGTGTCTGCTTTTGTCCTTTACTGTAGCTGAAGAAATGTCTTGTGCACATCTTCCCACAGAATGAATTTGCTCGCCGAGGTAAAAAGGCAGCGCTCTCATTTAAGCTTCAGCTGGCATCACATCAGGGAAGCTATCTCAGCATCACAAATCAGCCCAAATGGTGTGGTTATGACAAAATATTAGCAAACTGTATCACTGCTGGGAGGACTGCGGCATCTCTACTGGTTCGTGATGATGATGATGATGTTTTAATGGGATGTGCCATTCACCGTGCTGTTTTTTGTTTTTTTCTTTTTTCGTGGGGATTCAGTGCGATGCTGTTTTAATCCCCACTAATGAACATAATGCCACAGAATCTGTGAGTAGTGTAATCAGAGGATCGTTTCATTCATAAATGCATTCAGAGCCAACAGATCGACTCACAGAACTCATCACAGAAGAGGAGGAATGAGTCTGGAGCTTCCACAGGGCTCATATTTTCAGTCTGCTGTGTAAAGAAATGTATATATTTACAGCAGAGGAAGCTCCAGGGTGACAAAGTGAGGGAAAGTATAGAACGAGGTCATGTTTTAGGAAGTGTAACAGGAATAAAAACACTTGAAAAAGTAGAGCATGTGCACTTATTTCATAAACTCGGAACATGAGAAAGAGTTAAGCAGATTTTGGCTACATTTTGTTCCTTTTCCAGATTTTCATCTTAGCTGTGCAGATGTTTCACAAACCCTGCATCTAATTATTAGTCTAATTAGATAAATAAAATAAAGCGGGTTAAATAAAAGCGTGATGGAGGGTGTGTAATGCCACTGGCTCTTTGCAGATCTGATCTCTTATTTGTACTTTTTGCGTGCGTCGGTCTCATAATGTGTAACTTATTTGCATTTGTTGGGTGTGTGAAGCACTTTGGAGTTGCATTACACTGCATGACAGATGCTGCACTAATAAAGTTTGATTGAAACTGTGATTGAATTACTTGTAAAGCGGTGGGTAGGACTCTGAAGAGCAGAGGGTTATAAATCACCATCATTATGCTGGGGAAGGCCCCCCCTGGAGCACCGCGGACCCCACCTTGGGACCCGAGTAATGATCTGCTCTGATTTATTCCCAGCCCTGGCGCGTCCATGGCAGACAGGTGGCGCTGGTTCGCCGGTGTTGATGGGTCGGCCAGTCGGGAGGAACAGAAGTTTGTTATGTGCTGTGTTTTTACGCAGGCGCAGATCACGCTGTTTGTCCAGTTCTCGCTGGTTGACTTTTACCTGTGAGGTAGACTAGTTTCGCTTCGCCGGTGGGAATAATCAGCAGCGACCGCCGCCGGGTCAAGTCCGGTCCAGAGGTGGTGAGACTTCCCTCCTCCCCCCCCCTCTCGGCCCCTTGTGACTCAGGGGTCCCCACTGCGGAGCGTCGGACGGGATTTCTCCGGGATTTTAGAGTCGGTGCGCAACAGCGAGCGAAGCAGGAGGCAGGTGCACGGGAGAGGACAGGACAGGAGGAGGAAGAGGAGGAGGGCTGCTTGTATTTCCGCGACTCCTGCCGTTCACATAGGGCTGGATGATTGGAAATCAACTGGTTGGCTGCTCGGTGGTCGATCTGTGGTAGTTTCATTAGTATGCGGCTGGAGTCCCCCCCTGCTGCCGACATCCAGCCCGAGGACTGATCGGCAGCCCTGAAGTCTCCTCCGTGCCTGCTGAGTGACTCCTCGCCCCGGGGAGGAGGAGGAGGTGGAGGTGGTGAAGGAGGCAGCAGTGACAGGACCCCGGCTGCAGTGACTGTTGTGCGGAGCAGTTTTCACGGACGCGGCGCGGACCTCCTCTCATCGTGGATCAAGAAGATGATGGGCTTTCTGCGCCGGACGTTCAGCCGCCGCTCCCTGAGCCGCTTCCAGCAGAGGGAGAGGGATGAGCGGGACAGTAAAGGAGGAGGAGGGGGAGCAGGAGGGGTATCCGGGAACCCCCTGCTCCTGGCCCACCAGCAGCAGGTCGTCCACGCTCCCGCCGTGGTCACCGGGGGATCGTCGGTTCACATCCCGGCCGCTGGGACGGCGAGGACCACCATCACCTGTCGGGTCCTGCTGTTGGACGGCTCGGATGTCAATGTGGAATTGGCCGTGAGTGGCTCAAGTGGCAAGGCACATCAGTTGTGTATTCCCCCCACCTCCTTTGTCGTGTCTTTGTGGATCTTCCTGGGGGTCCAAGCAAAAAGAAAAAAAAAAAAAAGAAACGCGAGGCAGCTTTCCTGTCCTGAAAATGAACGAGCCTGGAGTCAGAGCCGTTTGCAGGTCCAACGCCAGCCTCTTAAACGATCAGAGCACAGTAGTAGTTAGAGGACGTGTAAAACTGAGTACTTATTACAGCCTTTTACCACTCTGTTTGTCTAAAAGGCATGCAGGACAAATTAGGACCCGGGCAATTAGTCTTGCTGATTAATCCATGAGGGGGAGAGCAAGATTTTTTTATATATATCTCCCCTCAGTTTAATTAACTGCCCAAATAAAGTGAAGACACTTTAATTTCTTTTCTGGCTCCTGGTGACTTCTATTGGATTTAGACTTCACAGGGGTCAAGGAAATGAGAAGCTCTGAGACCTCATGTTGGAATGTGGGGCATTGTTTTTGGCACTTTTAACTACACAATACAAAAAACATGACCACAGAATAACATTGTCGTTAGTTGTGCCCTCGGTTCAAACTGAAAACAGTGCGCTCTGCACTTCTTTGGATTTTGGCACAAACCCTTTTACCAAAGTTTCAGTGCCTGTAGTGTGTGTGTGTGCGTATCTGTGAGCACGTCTCTTCTTATACAGTGAGTGGTTGCAGCTCCAGATGGTGTTATGATCATCCGATTCATCGCATTGCTTCCCCATTCTGACTGTTGGGAACTAACTCAGACCTGAAGCTGCCCCCTCCTGTTTGCTCTTTTGCACATCTTCCTTTCACTTTCTTTTCTCTCTATTTGCTTGTATCTGATCTTCCTCAAGCAATCTCCGCTTTCCCCCACCTCCCCTCCCCTGTGCCATTCTCCCTCCTAATCTCCTTTTACACTCCCTCTGCTGCCTGCTCCCTTGCTCATCATTTTACTCTTTCACACTCTGCCTCCTCACTCTTCTCCTGTTCTTTCCCTCCTGTGCATCCTCCACCTCCTTCTGTCTCTCTCCATCCATCACCTTCTTCTCCTTTCTCTCTATTCCCCGACTCCCTGATCTGATTTACCACTGTGGGGACTCTGTGTCACAGACGAGTGCTACGAGCTGTGCGAGGGGGTAGGTGGGATGATGAGCGAGCGTGTGGGCCCTTGTGTGCGTAAGTGGCTTCTCATAAGATGTTTTCATTTTCAAGGTTGCGTGTGTCAGCGAAGCTGTTGCGTGCGTGCGTCACCTCCGAAACGCTCGGCCATTGCATTGTGGCGTGGAGAGCCTTTCTCTCGTCCTGCAGCGAGATTACAGCTCCAACACAAAGCCGCCACTTCTGCCAAGGCATTACAGTTGAAAATGACACATGGCTCGACGAGCTGCCGGCTTAGTCACAGGTGTGTTGGAACAAGTTTGTTCATGTGCTCTTGTTGTTCCTACAAGTGCACTGAACGGGGCTGAAATTCAACTAATAAGGCCTTTCAGTGTGTCACCTGAAACTGAGCGTAGGCCCGGAGACAACAGGAAGAACGAGCTGTTCACCTCGCTGCGCGTGACTCTGCGAGGCGCGTGATTGCGCGTCCTCTTGATGGAGGTCACAATCAGCCCCTTTAAACGACGCACGCTGCAGAGAGAATGGGCAGGAGCGATTTCTTTCTGTCCCCAATCCTTTAATACCACTGATTTCCTCACTCATTCATACACCCACCAGGAAGTTTAGGCTGGTTATCAGGATCCAAAGTACAAGGCAGTCATCTTCCTACACACCCACTGTGTTTTATGTGGGTCAGACCAGGGTTAGGTCTTCATCAGGGGATGCTCGTAAAATGCTCTGATAAATTTAACGGCAAACGGCTGCAGTTTGTGCTTAAGTGCACCAACTCGTTGTCTTGGTTGTGTGTTTATAGGAAAGGCCTCAATAAGGGCCTTTCCCTGTGGGGCTTGTCCTTCTCATTTTGACCTGGACACACACACACACACACACACACACTTACACTTCCAGTAGAAGTCATTTCTCCTCCCAATGTGATCACCAGGCCTCTTTCTAATTCACTTTTAAGCCTGTGCTAACAGGTTGACGCCCCCAACTCAATTTTAAAAGCTCAATCCATCCACCGTGGAAGATCCGCTCACCACGACAGGAGAGATAGTGTAAGAAATAACTAATTTCTCCTCCTGTGTTCTACTTTTGCTTTTCCCAGAGCAAGTCCAAAGGCCAGGACCTTTTCGACCAGATCATGTATCACATAGATTTGGTTGAGACAGACTACTTTGGATTGCAGTTCATGGACACGGATCAAGTTTCAGTGAGTAACAAGCTCTCACGTCCATCAATGTGGAAAGCAAGCTGATGAAAATCATTCTCACCTCTCTATTCTTTCTGTCGCTCTCTCTCTTAGCACTGGTTGGATATGTCCAAGCTTATAAAGAAGCAGATCCGAGGTAAGCTCAGGTCGCCTCGGGCTGTTTTTCTAATTAGGACTATTTGCATGTGTGTAGGAAAATGTGCAGTGCGTTGTATGCGCATGTGGTAGCAGGTGAGTGGGGAGCAGGTGGAGCATTATCAAATGTTGACACAGTGATTACTATGTGCATTAGAAGCCGTAGCCTTGTTTGCTCACTGGCTTGTAACAGGGGGCCGAATGGTTCACGGGAGGTGGGGAGATTGGATGTTGTACCTGTCGGCCGGTCGTTTATTCACAGGGTGGTAGGTCTGTAGCCTGAAAGTAACTCTGATCAATGTGGAAGGGAAGCAGGGAAGAAATATGAAAGTAGGTTAAAGTAAATTGGGAGATGAAAAGATTTCGGACCTCGTGGCAGTGATGGATGCAGCAGATGAAAAGTCGACGAGACTAAACGTATGAAATAAATTCTGAGAAATGTTATGTGATTGAATTATTCTCCGGCCTCGGCTCTTTCTGTCACACTCGCATATCTTTTAATCTTTCTCTCAGACGGTCCGCCGTACAAGCTGTTCTTCAGGGTGAAGTTTTACTCTTCAGAGCCAAACAACCTGCGTGAGGAATTTACAAGGTAAAAATACACACACACACACACACACACACACACACACACACACACACACACACACACACACACACACACACACACACACACACGGTTTTCTCTTGAGCCTGGTGTAAAGGTCCAAAGGGGACGTGGGGCTAATTACTTTGCTGCTATGGGCAGATTTAAATCAAGGACAGAGACTTGTTAAAACAAATTATGTGTCAGACATGAGGAGCGCCTTTGATACATCAATTGATTTATGTTGTCTTCAGGCGAGAGTCTCACTTGTTTGTTTTGCGGTTTTGTTCGCCAACAGGTATCTGTTTGTGTTGCAGCTTCGACAAGACATTCTGTCTGACAAGTAAGTTTCATCGTCACAGTTTATGCACACAAATAATTCCAAATAAACCCAGGACACACACACACACACACACACACACACACATGCATGACATATTAAGCACACCTCGTTAGTGTCAGGTTGGGATCCCCATGGCACGGATTCAACAAGGCCCTGGAAACATACCTCAGAGATTTTTGCTCCATATTGACATGATGGCATCACACATTCTGCAGATTTGATATAAAGCTCCTGTTCCACCACATCTCAAAGGTGCTCTGTTGGATTGAGATCTGGTGGCTGATAATCTTTGTGACATGGTGTGTAATCCTGGTCGAACCAGAGGATGAGTACAGTGTTGTCAAAAAATGATGGATACGGTCAATGAGAATGAGCCATTAATACAAAGCAGGATGGATCCATAATTCTGACCCAACCATCGGTCCGAACCTCGCAGCAGACTCATCGGACCAGGCCACACTTTGTGTGGGAGCCTGAAAAGGATTATAACCTCGGTTTTCTGATCTTAAGTGACAGAAATCACATCTGGTGCAGTCTTCTGTTGCTGTAGGCCATCCGCTTCAAGGTTCGATGTGTTGTGCATTCAGAGATGCTCGCCTGCATATCCTCTTAGTTATTGGAGTTACTGTTGCCTTCTGGTCAGCTCAAACTAGTCTCACCATTCTCCTCTGCTCTGAAAGTCACTGAAGTCACATTTCTTCCCCCTTCTGATGCTCAGTTTGAACTTCAGCAGGTCTTTCCCTAAGTGCGCTGAGTTGCTGCCATGTGATTACTTGCAAGCAGTTTAACAGGTTTACCTACTAAGGCATTGTTTTCTTTACACAGGAACAGCTGACTATTTTGTGAATTTTTTCTTTATTGTAGAGAAGGTGAGAAAAACTTGCCACTCCTTTTTCGGTTAGCTCAGCTCATTGTTAAGTCACAAGTCATTTGTAGGCACTTCCTCTCCATTTATGAGGACATCCGGCTCTCATCAGCAGCATTAAAACTGGAGTAAACACACTCACCTGTAGCGGCACGCACACAGGTCACCTACACTGGAGTTTGGGAGACTTGTGCACAGTGGCATCTGCTTCTGAGTCACAAACACAGACCTGCCTGCACAAACACACACTTCAGACAGTGTGTTCCCCATCTCCCTCCTCCTGCCTCTATCTGGGCCATGGATCCCTGGAGTCCAGCTCTATTATATAGCTCAAGATCAAGAACAGCAGAGGGCTGCTTATTTTAGCAAAAGGGTTGCGCCTCTCCTCCTTGACATGTTCACACACACACACACACACACACACACACACACACACACACACACACACACACACACACACACACACACACACACAGCGTAGGGCATTCATCCACTTTTATGTCTCTCTGACACATGATAATGAGTACACATCGCACCATGGGCAGGACAGTGGTTTTGATTTCATGCAGTGTGTCACTCGCACTAAAAACCGCTCACCATCAGCATCTCTCTCTCTCTTCAGGTTGAAATGTCCGTATGAAGTGGCTATAGAGCTTGCGGCATTTTGTTTACAAAGTAAGTAGACTTTGGAAACTCACTCTCAGTGTTTATTTATACTCTTAAGCAGAGATTTATGTACTCCAAGAACCTCATAAGTTATTCCTCATAGTGTTAACAGTTTTCCAAACCCTGGTGTAACCTGTTAGATTGATTTGGACTGAGTGCAAAGCCATTAATATCCATTTATTTCACTGTGATAGGAAAACTGCTATATATTTGTGGCATAATGCACTTGTGTTTACTTTGACATACATGATATGCATCAGCAGAAGCCCTGAGAACAGTACTACACTAAGCTCCGAATGATTTTAATAATAATAATAATGGATTGCATTTATATAGCGCTTTTCGAGACCCTCAAAGCGCTTTACAGTTCCACTATTCATTCACTCTCACATTCACACACTGGTGGAGGCAAGCTACAGTCGTAGCCACAGCTGCCGTGGGGCAGACTGACAGAGGCGCCTCTGGCCATCACCAGTAGGCGGTAGGTGAAGTGTCTTGCCCAAGGACGCAACAACCAAGACAGACAGAGCTGGTGATCGAACCGGCTTCCAAACCCCCTGAACGGTCGCCCCCATGGTTCAATGTGAGATTTTGTGGCTTCTCACATTAAATCAGTCCCTCCAGATGCCTGTCCTCTCATCTCAAATGCCAAAGCTTTTTTACAGAAGCTAATAACCTCAAATATTTCATGCTACACCTACACAAGGGCAAAGAGTGGTTGGAGCAGTTTGACCAAAATTACTACGACTGTGTGCGACAAACTTGTGATTTTATTGCTTTTCAAACGGTCGCTTCAAAGACGGGGCTTAATCTATGACCACTCGTAGTCAGTCGCTGTCTTCAAAGCGACTGTGGTGCGTCTGGAGGACAATTAAACTGCAATAAGATGCAGTCACTCTGCTAAATTCAGTATATTCGAGTACATACAGTCATTTTGTGATAATGCATTGAAACAAAAATGGCAAAAGTCAATTTGCTGCAATCTGTTGTCGTCTAGTTCCACAAAAATTCACATTAAGTCCAACGAGAACCTCAAGAATGTGAAACAGCCGTCCCTCTGCCAATAGTGACGTCCCATTATTAAAAAGAAACTGAGCTCATCAGCTCAGAGTGACTCAGATTGATTGCAGCGTGTTTGTAATTTGGCTTTTTATAAATTAGACGTCTGTTACTTAATTAGGAATCGGTCTTAGTCAGACTGCAATTGTTTGGAGACAGATTGCCTCCCACCTGTGCAGTCACCCTGCAATCTAAAGTGGTCTCCACACCTTCATGCAATTGATTACTGATAAGCCATATATATATATATAGATATATATAGATATATATAGATATATATATATATATAGATATATATAGATATATATATATATATAGATATATATAGATATATATATATATATAGATATAGATATAGATATATATATAGATATATAGAGATATAGATATATAGAGATATAGAGATATAGATAGATAGATATATAGATAGATAGATATATAGATAGATAGAGATATAGATAGATATATAGATATATAGATATAGATATATATCTATAGATATATATCTATAGATATAGATATATATATATAGATATATATATATAGATATAGATATATATCAGTGCGGTTACCAGGCAACCACTATTTTTTTTTCTCTCATCACAATGAGGTTACCGTCCTAATTTTACCCTCATG